AAGTAAATTAAATTTTTGTTTAGAATTATAAAAGTTATAAAAATTAAAATTAAAAATTAAAAATCGAGACCATATTAAAATAAAACCAGCATTAATGAGATTAAGTTGATAATTAATATGATTAATAATTTAAACATTTTTATTCAACTATTTTGACCTTTTAACAAATATGAAAAAGGGTGTTTTTAACCAAAGTACAAGTTGAGGGTTAATGCACCTTTTAAAAAATTAACGCTAACTTTATTAATAGTTAATATTAATAATAGTATCTTTTTTCAACTTTTTTGCCATTATTTGCATTATGAAAGAGAGAAAATAAAGAGATTTCTATTGATAAAATGAATAATTAAAGCAATTGGATAACAATAAAACGTAAAAAAGGGAGAAATATTTGCCTTTATAATATTTAAAATTAATAGAAATATTTAGTACAGTTTGATGTGTATTAAGCTCTAGTAAATTTTGGATGAGATAATGAGAACTATCGGTCTAATAATACCTTTTGAGCTAGTATGAAAATAAGATATTTTACCACTAATAATATCAAAATATTTAATTATAGTTATAAGATAAATAAGATATAATATAAATTTTATTTGTATTTTATTTACTTATCAAGTTTGGATTAGACGTACGGAGAGGACATCATAATGTTTACTTCTGTAGTCCTTTTTTTTTTTCCCCCAACGGTGGATTCCAATGAAAAAAAAGAAATGCACTACAACTTGTTTAGAAAGTCAATTAATTATAAATTTTTGTAAATTGTACACTCTTAATCTTAAATATTAGGTTTAATTTTCTCTCCTTTAAATTTGTATTTTAAAAAAATGAACTCAAGAAATAGAATTTTTAAAAAGTAAGTTAATAAAATGTTTATTATATTTTTTATTATCAATATATATAATAAAAAATAAAATTTATTTTATTAATTATTTAAAAAAATTTTATGTAACGTAAATATTAAAATTATGTTATTTTTTTATTTCTTATATAAATTAATACATAAAAAAAAATATTTAATACCCCTTACCATTTGCCATTCACACCCGTCAGAACGCAGCAACGCATTGAGCACAAAGTTAACCATTCTGTAGCCTTTTACTAAAGAGCGGAGTGCTAGGGGTACTCGCTTCTTGCACTCTCCGGCCAACACACCCGTCAGAAAATAAGGCAGCAAATTGGAGTGCATTACTCAGCTCATAAATAATGATGTACCGAAAAGGGTCGAAAAAAAAAGTTAAAAACTCTGTTCATAAAGGCGGCCGCCTTAATAGATTTTGCTTTCTTTTTTATCCGTTAATTTATTCGTAACTTAAGGGGTTTTTTTTTGGTAGAAATTCCTAACTTATGGTTTGGTTAGTAAAAAACAAGAAGTTTCAATCTCCATTCCCTATATATATTCTCCGGGATCAACGTCCACTAGAAAAGCAGAAACCAAAAACACAATGAAGTACAGCTGCTGCTGCTCTCGTCCCACCTTTGCCCTCATCTTCATTTCTTTCCTCTTCCTCTCCTCCTCCTCTCTTCTCCCCATCTGCATTGCTTCCAGTTCTGAAGTGGGTATGTTTTCCTTCAATTTATATCTGGGGTTTCTTCCTACTTATGGGAAATGGGGCATTTTATGTTAATTTGTACTTGCATATACAGATACAATGCAGATAATGCGCCAAATGTTGTTGCTTTCTCTTCTTCATGGCTGCTGATTATAGGTTCTTTTGATGTGTTTTTGTTATGTATGGAACTTGGATTTTCAGCTCTTTGCTTTATATAGTTACCTAATCACAAATTTGATA